GTATCCTGATGAAAAAGAAACTAAGCTAACTGACGGGGGCTCCAGTTGGCCTTATGGGATATAACAAAAGATGTCCCAATTTTAGGTAAAGTTAGTGTCCATTTAGGAGAGGGCAGAGAAAAACACTTCAGCTTTCCTTTTAGCTCTCTGGTCACTTTTTCTGGAATAACAACCAATTTGGTAGAAAACGGGGGAATCACGTCAATTGTAGGTGATTATCGTAACAAGAGCTTCAAGTTTAGCATCCTTATTATAAATCTATGCCACACAAAGAAAGCCAGTATACCACACCATCTCTGGGACTGAACATAAACACAAGGATGGACTGGAAATGTATCTTCTGCCAGGTCATAGGGAAAGGATGCATAGAGAAATGTCTTTCAGCAGCTTATAAAATGGAAACTTTACAATTTGCACATGACTGTCTAGCCTGGCAAAGATGAGCAGGACAAAGTCCAAGGCAAGGCAGGGTTATACAAAATGCAGGCCCCAGAGACTTCCCAGTCTCCCCGTGAGCTGGCGTCTTAGAATTCACGATGGATGACAAGGTGTTAAAGCGTGGACACCCTCGAATTTTCTTAGGCAGTCAGTCAAACAACATGAAAAAAGAGAGAATATTTTTAACGGATTGGTTTAATGTTTTACTTTTAAAGTACCCAGTTCTACTCAATTCTCTCTATACAGCACAGCTTTAATTTTTTCTGTCCTTAAAATGAGAAGCAGTCATTCATTTTTTCTCTATATCCTTCTATCTACAATACTTGGCAAACTCGCCTCATTTCCATTCTACGCTTATCTCTTACTAAGCCTTGCAGCACTAGCAATGTGGCTGAAGATAAAGATTTCTCTTTTTTCTTTGCTGTTAAACAGTGAGCTGAGTAGAAATGTGAGTTCCCTAAGGCCACACACACAGCACATCAGTGGTGGGAAGAGTAGTTGGACCCCAGGTGGAGCACCAGATGGAGGCAGCAGGCTTCTCCCCGTCAGTGAGGCCAGGAGGACCTGGTGGGGAGCCCTGTTTCCCTCACTCCCCTCCTTTCCATGCGCAGTCTCCACTCCCAGGGCTGGGGGCGGGATGAGAGTGTGCAACGAGGCAGAAGGCACGCGGCACCCAAGGGAAAGTGCCACATAAAGAAACAGTGGGATGTACTGCAGAGTGCTACAGCTAAGAAGGTCCTAATTCCAACTCCTAATTTTACTGGTAAATAAAGGAGCCCAGAAAAGTTAAGTGATTGCCCCAAAGATACACAGTGGTTGGCCAGACCCAGAACCCAGGTCACCAGCCCACTCTTTTGATTGTCCCACTTGCGACAGAACCGAGTATAAGAAAAAGCAAAATATAAAGTCCACGGATTACACCCCCATCACTCCCACCAAACAAACGCACCTCTTTTAAAACCACCCAAGTCTCAAGCTCCCATTTCCTTTCAGCACCATTAGCTTACTGAGCTCAGATTTCCTATTCTTATCCAGGACCTACTAGAGGCCCTGGTGGCCTGAGTAGTCAGAAGCCCAACTGTGCGCCAGCCAGCGTGCCGCAGCCTGGGAAGGGAGGTCTCTGAGAAGCGGGGGAATATAAGTAGCCTCTGCAACTCGGGAAGTTTCAGGACCATACGTCATGCTTATAATAAAGCCGACTCTAAGCTCAGCGGCTTTTGAAGTTTATGCTGGCGGGAAGGCAACGGGCTACCCATTTAGCAAGAGAGGAAAATTTAAGAATCAATAACAAATAAGGAAGGAGGGAAATGCTTTGAGTTCAGTCTGGAGGGTGTGAGATTAACTACCTCCATTCAGTCCGGGCAGAGAATGACCTTTAAGGCAGTGTTCACTGCATGAGAAGAGGGTTCGAGCCAGGCTGCATGAACTAGGTCCTTGACATTCCCTAATCCTGTGCAAATGAAGTCAGTTCTTGATTTTCCCCAAGTATACCCATTTGGTCCCACCACCCAGTGTCCAGGGATCTCCAATGGGTTGTCCCTAGACGACTCCATTGAATTGTTTAGAAGGAAACAATGGTCTCACGTACTTCCCACCTTCCCAAATAACATGTTGGCATTTAAGCAAGGGCCTTGGTGCCCCAAGCACAGGGAGAGACTAACACATGTCCTAGTAGGCTGGTGGGACAGGTGCTTCTGAACAAGTGGGCTGCTGGCAGGCCAGCCCTGCTCCACCGCCTGATGCCAAACTGCTCCAGGACTGGGAACGGGCGGAAGGTGTTAGGCCACAGCATGAGGAGGCAACCTGTGAACACCTGAAAACTACAGCTGAATTCTAAAATAAAAATATTCGGGGGATTATGGATTATTTATATGTTATTCAGATCAAGAGTTAATCATAACAAAAATCATCCTTATACCTTTTTTGTTTGTTTTGTGAATCTTCACTGGATGATATTTTTCCATTGATTTTTTAAAGAGAGTGGAAAGGAAGGAGGGAGTAAGGGGGGTAGAGAAACATCGATGTGAGAGAGACACATCCATTGGTTGCCTCCTGCAAGCACCCCATGGGGCTTGGATCGAACCTGCGACCCAGGTACATGCCCTTGACCAGGAATAGAACCTGAGACCCTTCAGTGCGAGGGGCCAACGTCCTACTCACTGAGCCACACGGGCCAGGGCTCTTATACCTTCTTTTAGCTTATCTCACCCAAGAAGAACGGATTGTCGCTGCTTTCCTAAGGGATTCGGTACTCTAAAAATGACCACCTACCTGTACAAGACAAAAGACGAAGGATCAGGAAGAGGAATCCTTTAGACACATATAATAATTAGTAAGCTAGCAAACTGAGAAACTATCTCCTTTAAAAATAAAAAGTGATACCTCTCATGAGGATGAGACAGAACGAAGGGGAAAAAATGAAGGATAAATGAATGAATAAAAAACCCAGAGAGGCCAGATAAACTAAGAATTTAAATTATAGTCAAACGTGAGGGCCTGAACTAACAAGCAGAACAAGAAGCTGAACAAAAGCTCTTTCTGCCTGCTGGGTTCCTAAGCATCTACAGCGAGGGATTAAGATGGCTTTATTTCAACAGAGCACATTTTGTCACCTGATCTCTATCCGTGACCCGGGTGAGGATAAGTAACTTATGGCTGTGCTCTTACGAGGCAACAAATCCCTGAGTACTGTGCTTTGTTCACTTTAGGAGAACACTTATGTAGCAGGAAAAAAAAAATCTGTCTATAATTTATTTTAAAATAAAAACTTTTATTTTTAATTATTTTTACATTTTTATTTTAAAACAAGTAGTTTTTCCAAAAAACACTGACTGCAAGGGGGGAAACAAGGCGATTGAGGGTGGGACATAGGAGGGAAGCAGAGAAAAGACTGAGATGACAGACTAACAATCAGGCACATTCAGAAAGGCCCTCGCTAGGACACTGTCCTCTCCCCGCTTCCCACGTGGAAGCGTAGCAAATGCACTGGAACGCGAGCTACAGGATCAAAGAGAAGCATTCCCTGGGATATATTCCTAGAGGTGATATCAACTTGTACTCATACCCCTCCTCACAATCCAGTTTCTAGGTTCTGTTCTAATGAAACTATTAAAGATACAGTCAGAGATTTATACACAAGAAAGTTTGCTACAGCGTTGCTGATATTAACAAAGGACCCGAAGAAACCAAAATTGCCAAGTGTGGGAATGGACAACTAAAGTAAGGCAGAACCACTAGAAGTCCACTTTCAAATATTTAAAGACACAGGAAATTCATTACTTGTGATACCATGTTAAGTGAGGCGGAAAAACAGGAGACCAAGCTGTATATATGTCTGACTCAACTTCATTTAAATACATGTATTACATGCATTTTTATATACGGAAAGGAAATTCATAAACATGCCAGCAGAGGTTAGCTATGCTCTATGTGGAGTCAAGTGCGTGATGCTTATTGTTTTTTCAGACTCGTCTATAATAAGCATACATTACTTCTGTATCAGGAAAAAACCAATAAATATTTATTTTATAGTATGCCTACTCTGAAATATCTCATCTGAAACAGCAATTGTCAGTTTTAGAGAAAGGCGGCTAACGTCCAAGGCTGGCTCAGAGAACAAAAGAGNTCTGTATCAGGAAAAAACCAATTAATATTTATTTTATAGTATGCCTACTCTGAAATATCTCATCTGAAACAGCAATTGTCAGTTTTAGAGAAAGGCGGCTAACGTCCAAGGCTGGCTCAGAGAACAAAAGAGTCAAATCTACACCAGAACTCTTCTGAAAAGGGTGAGAAAGCTTGTGTGCCACAGTCCCGCTTCCTCCTGTGTTGTGGCATGTGGCTCCGTTGCTGGGCTTTGCAGGGAGCTCTACTGGAGACCCCATTCCTTCTTCTCACAGCAACCGCTGCGCCTTACATGACCTTGTACGTGGTCCTTACCGCTCGGCATGAGGACCGCAGGAAAGAGAGCGAAAGAGGCCTACTCCCTGCGTCAGAGGAGGAAGTGTTTCTTATAGGGCCATCAAAATGACCCCAAACAGCTACACAAATTTTGAAACATAAGTCATGAGTTGTGTTCGAGAGCCCTATTATGTCTCTCTCATGTCTCAGGAATGAATATAAAACAAAATGTGTGAGTGCCACCTTGTGGCAAGTCTGACTACTACATGACCGCCTGTCCGTCTCCGTGCTTCACCACTGGGCTCTATGCGGTGTGGCCGCGGAGATTCGGGCCATGATAACCTACGGCACTGAACATGATGTGGTCCTCACAGTGCCTGGTACTATTCATTTCCAAGGACTTCTCATTGAGACCCCAGAAATGCCTTTCCGGGGACAAGTGGGAATGAAGAGGCAGTGGAATGATGCGCAGGGTGTGCACGTGCGTTTGTGGGCTGCTGTTGACCGGGCTGAAGCTGCACCATACATATGTATATCCATCTGTGCACACACACTAGATGCCACGTGGCAGAAACCTATGGGACGACTATCTCCTCCTCCAAGAATATTTACCAACTTTATAAAGTTAGGAAGAAAAAAGTTTTACAGTTACAGTCAGTAAGTTTTGTGCTTAGAAGTTTTATTTATCAATGTTACAGCAACCATCGCCAACTTGGGCACAATTCCAAAACAGGGTTCTTGTTGGATTCTGGCCATAAAATTCTTTTTTAAGCTTATTAAGATCTTATAACGTAAGAAAGTTTTCCTAATACTTTAGAAAAATACTAATCACTAATAAGTTACTTTCATGCTTAAAGTGGCAACTTCACATTTTGAAAGATAAAAACACCACTTTGAACATCTAAACACATGAATTAATCTCGGTGTTCCAGGCATGGGAGGAGATGGAGAAATCCTCACACTGCACCCTGACCAAATGACTCGAGAGAGAATCAAGCGCTCAAAAGAGTATTGAGAATCTGATGGGGCACAGAACTTGGAAGGGGCTTGATACTGAGTCTGAGAAAAGATAATCGTCCTCTCAGAAAGGGATTAAGCTAAAAACCTTGCAGTTATGGGCAGGAGGATGGCAACAAGCAGACAATGAACAGCACAAAAGGAAAAGCTAAGCAAATCATCGAAGTTCTCTTGGGAGATGGTGCTTGGGCTTCTCTCTGCCCCACCCAGGTTGAAGGCCTGTTTCTACAGAAGGGTTTCCTCCAGTGTAAGGGTGGGCACATGGGGCAAGAAGTTGCTGCTTTGGTCCTGGGCATGTCAAGGGCAGCATTCTGTGAAATAAACTGAAGTGATTCAGATGGGATGGATCCCAAACAGGTGCATTGTGGGAGGGCATTAAGCTGGAGAATTTATAATTAGGAGGCTGAACTGGGAAAATGAATCTGAACCCTTGTTTGCCTCCCCAACCCCTTGGAAGCACCTTTTCTCCGCTCCTAACCTGATGGGACTGAAATACGTGACAGCCCATTTGAGATAAATCAACATACTGAAAAGGGAAGAAATGTATTAAAAACCTGAGAGTCCTGACAAGTCACTTCAGGGAGAATCCTTCATTTGCCATCAGCACAGGAAAAGCAGAAGAGAAAGAGTAAAATAAACTCAAGGGCCTCCTTGTCCATAAAAATAAAGTAAAAGGGAGAAAAAAAGAATTTTCATTCTGCCCAACTAGAATTCAAAACCATAAGCTCCCCTTCAAACAACAGCCATGCTCCACCAGAAGCATCCTGGGGTCAGTATGGGTTAGTATTCTGGGTCGTGTCACCAGGCTTTGACAATTAACAACGTATTAAAATGGGAAGAGGTGAGTTTTCCACCTTGGCTCCAGCTTCCCAGCTGTCCTAACCTGGGAGGAGAGCAGCTATCACGACAGCTTGATGGCAAGGTCCTCCCCGTATTTCCGGAGCAGCTTCTGATGGTTGTGGTCCACTGACCACTGCTGGGGCAGGTGCTGGGGCTGCATGGAGTCCAGGAAGTGCTGACGCCAGCGGCTCTCCAGCTGCATGAGGGAGCGCAGCCCACCCTGGCTATGGCACCGCACCACCTTCAGCCCGTGAGGAATGTAGTTTTCATTGGAAATCCTGCCAAGACACAAAGTACAAAGGGTCAGAGAGAAACAAGTACAGGACGGTCTCCCTGATGGCTCCAAATGCTGCAGGCCAAGGGGCTTTCACCAGGGTATGAAGGAGGTTGCTGGACTCCTAACCCGTTGGCTACTTTAATGGTTCTGAAACATCCTCTTTCCCATATATGCTTTTTAAAAAAAAACTTGGGCATGTTGCACACAATCCAACAGAAGGCATTTGGGGATTCTGAGCTATACTTGCGGGAAAACCACTGCATGATGCTCAGCCCCGTTAGAGGGGCCTCCTGGCTGACTAAGGAGGGTGAAGAATGCTGGTCCTGTATTGACTCCAGGGTGCTCAGTTACCAGCTCACGCTTCGTTCAAGTTATTCATCCTGAACCATACTCAGTATTTATATGAGGCTGTTAAACCAGGCCATGTGNTTACCAGCTCACGCTTCCTTCAAGTTATTCATCCTGAACCATACTCAGTATTTATATGAGGCTGTTAAACCAGGCCATGTGTTCCAGTTTCTCATAACAGTGTAACGCCTGAATGTAAAATGCCAGGTGGGCCATTTCTTTAGTGCATTCCTTCTCACAAAAGGAATGCCAAACGGCATCCACGAGAAGCGCTTCAGTGACAATGAAATGCTACCGTGGTGGCTCGCTGGGCACCTGGTGCTCCCTTCCCAACTAAGCTGAGGGGGCCTTAAAAACTCCTCTGATACCAGGCAAACATGCTTTCACCTCCTCTGAATAAAGATTACCTTTCTCAAGGGCTCCCTACCCCGCAGACGCAGCTCCTCTCCCTGCATCCGCACCCTCCTCTCATCCTCCCTCCCAAGACTCCTCCAGTCTAGCAGTGTCAGAAATTCCTCTGAGAATTTCCATACATTTTATTATTTAGCTCCAGAGCACCCCACTAACTTGTGTATCTTTTCCCAAAGAGCTGTTCTTGGTCCTAGACATCCAAGTCCAGCATCCTTCTATCCAAGCCAGCAAATTATTAGAAAGGCCTGTGGCTGAAAGGGGAAGTGTGGCTGTTTTAGGAAATACATTTGGGAATTGGTTCAAGGAGCCAGTGTCATTAATTTCTAATATGACCTTGGCAAGTTACTTAATCTTAACCTCAGGGTATCTAGTGTGAAACTTGGGAAACAACATGTATTCTATAACCTCAACAAGGATAAAATTCAATAATCAATTTTTTTAAACTCTGAAAGATATTTTAAAATGTAAGATATAATGTTAGTTACCAGTAAGAAACCTAAATCTTACCTCATAGGGTTTGTTAGGTGAAATAACCAAGGCAAGTTACGTAAAGTTTATTAGCTTGCTTAGGTAGATTAATATATCTGTACTTGTTCCATCAATATTTGCTGCTATAGTTAAGGTATTTTGGGTTTTTGATAACAAAAATACTATAGGCAACCAGCATCACTATTAGAGTTTTGTGAACTTATCAGTTCAATTATTTCTACCCCTAGAACTTCTGAAAAAAGTGAGAGTTGGGGAGCAGAACTACAGCAGGCGGCCCAGAGTTTTTATCATCTGAGCCACGGACCCATTCATTTCTCAGGATCATGACCTTCTCATTCAGGGACACTNCTGGGGAGAACTACAGCAGGCGGCCCAGAGTTTTTATCATCTGAGCCACGGACCCATTCATTTCTCAGGATCATGACCTTCTCATTCAGGGACACTGAATTAAGTCATATGAATTCAACTGCGTACTAATGGAGAAGGAGGCCTGAGAAAGGAAGGAAAAAGGAGAAACATAATTTAAATAGTAACAGAATCCTGGCCAGCATTCCACCAGTGGGCCAGTGCCCTGGAGTGCAGGTGAGACAGGAAGCGAGCCCCCTGTCATAGTTCCCGCAGACCTGGATGCGGTGAGACACAAAAGCACACACACCGTATTTCACTGGCAACTTCAGCGATTTGAGGGAGTTTTTTTGACTATTATTTGCATATTATGTGCTGACTTGAGGATTTATTTCTGCACTAAACATATAAAGCACAACCCTACTGCACTTGAACTCTCCTACTAATCATGAAAATGGACATAGTATATGACCTTAAAGGGTCAAGGATAGAAGGGAAGCCTCCTATAGAAAGGAAATTCTCAAACAGATTGTTCTATCCCACCCCCGTGATATTTTAAGCATTAGATATTTCCTGGGATAATCATGAGGTTATGCACTGCACCTAAATGACTAATGCCCCTCCCTGGGAAGTGTTCCCACTAAGTAGTCAGGGTTAATGTCACTGATTAGTTCTCACTCCCTTCTCTGATCAGAACTGTCAATTATACCTGGTCTCCAGGCTGGCAGCCTCCTGAAGCATCTCATCCGTGACCATGTCCGTGTTATAAAACTCTCTGAGAGCTTGCAGCAGCTCCTCCTTCCGATGAGCGGGCAGGCTCTCGGCGTTGAGCAGGGCCCTGGCCCCAGAACGCATCTGCCGGCGCTCGGGATCCTCCAGCAGGCGCAAGCCCTCCTCAGAGCCAATGGGCGCCTGGAACTCCTTGGCCAGCTGCTGCTTCAAATGGTTGTCATAGTAGTTGGAGATGGCATGGCAAGAGGTGCAGAGCAGCAGCACGTCGTGGGAGTTGTGGTCCTTCATCTCAATGGGGAAGTGCTTCCGGTACTCGTGTGGAACCACGTTCTTCCTGAACAAGCCCACAAGGCGGTGCTCGTGAGCATATGACACAGAACCCACCTGCAGCTAGCACGGGCTCCTGGGATTCTGACCTGGGCCTGAACCTAACTGCGAAGCCTTGGGCACCACAATCCAACAGAGATGACATAAAAACAACACTACCACCCAGCTGGTGTGGCTCAGCGATTGAGCATCGACCTAGGATCCAGGAGATCGGGGTCTGATTCCCAGTCAGAGCATATGCTCGGGTTTTAGGCTCAATTTGCAGCAGGGGGCGTGCAGGAGGCAGCTGATCAATGACTCTCTCATCATTGATGTTTCTCTCTCTCCCTCTCCCTTCCTCTCTCTGAAATCAATAAAAATATATTTTTAAAAAACCCAATACTACCTATTCCACTCTTGGCCCACCTAACTACCAGTGCCTTAGGTTCCTCTAGTTAGAACACACTACCTGCTGTCAGGCTTCAGTGGAGGGCCAGGGGTAGTGAGTGGCTAACAACAACCTTTGAGAAGGTTGTGTTCCCAGAAGGAAAAGTATCAGGGAAATGAAAAGAAATTCTAATGGCCTTTGATATCTAGACAACAAACTCTCTCAAAGCATGTAGCAGGTAACCTCTACTCCTGAAATTCTGGGACCCTGGTGACCTGAAAAGGTCAATTTCCTTCACTTGAAGAATCCCTTACTCTAAGATTATTTCCCTGGTTCATCAAAGTCCATCATTATTTTCTAAGAACAAAGCTCTCAAGAAAAACTCTTGGCAGCAACAACTACCTGTCTCACTTTGCAAGGGAGAAAGGAAGAAAGCACAAGCACGTTACTCCACAGAAGCCAAGGAGAAGACCTAAGTGTCTGGGCGCCCAGGCTCACAGGCAGCCTCACCTTCATTGCATGGGGACCCTGACACAGAGTAGTCGTCCCAGACTATTCCAGAGTGTGCCTTCAGGTCATCTGGATATTTCATGAACAGTACCAAAGATCAGAAAGCGTGTGAGCCCCTCAGGGGAGGATTATAATGACACAGAGAGATAGGCAGCTTCTGAAGGAACTGGTCCCCATTCCCTTGTGAACAAAAGAGAACCACTCTCTATGGCAAACTGTTACTGAGAAGAGTATTGCATTCTAGAAACTAAGAACCGGGCTCAGGAGGGCTAGGGGAAAGGCCAGGCCGAGTGGCAGGGCTCTCAGGGATATTGGGATGCGTCCTAGGGACAAGTCTCTCAGCCAAAGTGGGCAGACTCCAGCAGGGCCCCTGTGGAGTCATGAGAGGATACAGCCCAATTCCCCCTCCCAGTCAGTGGAACGGTGTCCACCTGGCCAGCGGCCACAAGGAGCAGTGCAGCACAGACCTGGGCGTTTCCCATGTTCCTGACAGCTAATAAGCCTCTCCAGATTCTTTGTCCTTGGCCTGCACAAAGGCTGTTCCCAGCTTCACTCCCTCCCCCTCCCTGCTGCTAGTTAAGCCCCTAGCTGACCCTGGCTGAGGAGCCATGGGGG